TGTAGGGAAGGGTGTTTAGAAGCCGTGGAGGCTGCAGTACGGTTCCTTTTATTGCTTTATCAGGACTCGGTGTTGGAGTGCTGGCATGCTGATATGGATTGGCCTATCATGAAATCTTTTGGCACATACATATTGTATATGTACTTATGTAGATGAATGGCCGAGTGAAGATGTGTGCGTTCGTGTATGTTCCAACCTAACAGGAGCTGCCGCCTCGCCCTGATGCTTTAGGGGGGTCCCAAGCCAGAAGAGCCTCAATTATGTGCCTACATCATTTTTCTACAAAGAGTTTGCATGAGTTTTGAAAAAAAAATTTGTTTCCCAAGATCATATCCACTCTCCTAGATGAGTGATCCTGTAAAAGAAAGATAAATTTGAGACTATTAAAGAGATGGAGTTTATCAACTGAGACCAGATGGGTTTGTTCAAACATAGCAAAAAAAAAAAAAAAAGAAAAAGAAAAGAAAGAGTACAATGGTATGATTTAAAATGCTTATTAAAAGCCAAGTGCCAGCAAGGGAAAGCTACAATAGTGCTGCTATGGCCAAAATATATTAAAAAAACAAAAACCAACAACCCTGATATGCATGAAGAAATTCTTTATCTACACAAGATTAGTAAAAACATCACTCAGTCTCCCAAGGGGATTTTTATATCATTTTTATATTATTAGTATTAGTATCAGTAGAAGTATTGGTACTTTTAAAAGTTTGCCTTAATTAAAAAAATATTTTATTTGTATTAGTTTTAATTGTGTGTGTGTGTATGGGGGGGGTATGTGCACATGAGTGCAGGTGCCCTCAGAATCCAGAAAAGGGTACTCGATCCTCTGAAGCTGGAGTTGAGTGTGGTTGTGAGTCACCTAATACGGGTGCTGAACTCTGGTCCTCTGCAAGAGCCACACATCTCTCCAACCCCCTTACTGGTTTTTAAAAAAATGTTGTAGTTTATTCATTTTATTTTTTGTGTGTTTTGCCTGTATAGGTGTCTTCACACCATGCACATGCTTGGTGCCTACAGAGGTCAGAAGATCCCCTAGAATTAAAGTTACGCATGGTTGTCAGCTGCCATGTGCATGCTGGGAGTTGAGCCCAGATCCCCTGCAAGAGCAATAAGTGCTCTTGACAGCTGAGCCGTCTCTCCAGCCTGTTAAATCCTGAGTACTGGGCTTAAAAGTGTGTACCACCATGCCCATTTTTTACTTTCTCTCTCTCTCTCTCTCTCTCTCTCTCTCTCTCTCTCTCTCTCTCTCTCTTTCTCTCTCTCTCTCTGTGTGTGTGTGTGTGTGTTTTGTTTTTTGAGATAGTATCTGCTTGGAAAGCCCAGGGTGGCCAGGAACTCACCATTCTCCTGCCTCCGTCTCGGAAGTGCTGAGCTCACAGGCCCGTGCCTGCTAAGCCTGTCTGAGGCTGACTTCTAATGGCGGAGAACACAAAAGCTACAGTACTTTAGCATCTTCACAGCGAAGGAGGGCTCTGCAGTCTACTTGTCCAGCTGGGGCAGGGCTCAGCACTCTCATCCCCAGGCAGGCTGGGCCGTGTGAACAAGGAATTGGTCGTAGAGTTCAAAGCTCTTCAGGTCCCAATATCTTTATATTAAAATTCTGAAAGCCCATTTTTTTTTTCGTTTGTTTATTGGTTTTTTTTTTGAGACAGGGTTTCCCTGTGTAGTTTTGGTGCCTGTCCTGGAACTCACTCTGTGGCCCAGGCTGGCCTCAAACTCATAAAGATCCATCTGTCTCTGCCTCCCGAGTGCTGGGATTAAATGTGTGTGCCACCACCGCCCAGCTGAAACCCCAATTTTTATATGGAGTAAATTAAAACAAATATTGTTAAGGATTGGGGAGCCGGCTCAGTAGGTAAAGTCACACGTTGCCAAACCCGACAACCTAAGTTTGACCTCAGGAACCTCCGGAGTGGAAGAAGAGAACCAGCTCCTTCTAGCTGTCCTCTGGCTTTCACATGTTTGCCACGGCACACACATGCACCCCACCCCCAACAAAATAAATAAATGTAAGAAGAATAGTTTTTAAGAAGAGAGGGCAATGGAGGGATAGGGAAAAAAACTACCATGTGTTAGAAACCAGGAGATGCCTTAGTTAGTGACTACTGGGGGATCTGAGCTCAGCACCTAGCATCCATGTAAACCAGATGTGCACATCCCTGTCATCCCAGCACTGGGGAGGCAGAAAGAAGAAAATCCCGGGGCTTGCTGTCCAGCCAGGCTAGCCAATCAGCAATCTCCAGGTTCAGCGAATGGCTCTGTCTCAAAAATTAAGGTTGAGAGGAGGACACTTGATACCCGTGTCTGGCCTCTACACACACACATATATATATGGATACGTGTGTGTGTGTGTGTGTGTGTGTGTGTGTGTGTGTGTGTATATATATATATATATATATATATATATATATATATGCATATAAGTACACACACACACACACACACAAACAGTACTGTGTAGGCCAAGTCCACCCTAGAATGGGTAGCATTCATGAGCCTCCCTGGGTCCTGGATGGGACCCTATCTGGGACGACCGCATAATGGACCAGCACACTTGTACCACTGGCTAGGTTGGATTCATCTAGAAACACCAAAACATATACTTCTCTGCTCACTCCCACCCTCTGAGGTTCCCACCCCCAACTCTGGTCCTTCCCTATCACTGTCACCCACTAGGTGGCACTGCAGACCCAGTATTTTACACTGGTCAACCTGACTTGGTGGCCCCCACAATACCAGTCTATCCAGGCCCCTTTCCTGCTACTGCCCAAGACCATTCTGGGGGGCATCTTGGCTTTTTTTCCCTTGTATCTTTTGCTAAGCCAAAAAAGGTCTATTTATGTCTGCTTCCCTTCAATATTTATTTACTGGAAATATTTTTTACCAGCACATGTTTATTTGGACTAGTCACATTTCAAGCGCTCAGGGCCACAGTTGGCTGGAAGCTCTGCTCAGATTGGGCTGGGCCTGGGTCCTTCGTCCCAGGGACAGCTCCCACACTGTAACCTGACACCTGTGCACCTGGGTACTGATGAGAACCCCGTCACTGCCAGGGACCTAATTTCCTTGCCTCGGAAAGCTTTTTCTATCTGAAAGGCAGTAGCTTATTTTCTGAACCTCCCAGGCTGGGCCACCCATGCAGTACATTTCCCTGCCATTCTCATGAGGTCTCCCAAAGGGCTGCCTTTTACAAATAACAATGGTTTTCCCTTACTTTTACAAGTTCCTTTTTTATGGGGTAGAATAGCATGAGTATGTGCGGGAGGTGGTCATGTGTGCTGGTACCCATGCATGTTTGTGCTCATGTTGTGGAGGCCAGTGGTTGACAGTGGGTATCTTCTTCGACATTAAGCTAGCAGCTCACTAATTTCTGGACCAGCAACTCACTGGTTCACAGGCTGGGGATCCCTGTTTCTGCCTCCCAAGGGCTGGGAATACAGGAAGGCTGTCATTCCTAACCACTAAGCCATCTCCCTAGCCCTTGAATAAAAAATTATTTAATATAGCTTAATTTATCAAACATGAAAATTCACCTTAAATTCTCTCTCTCTCTCTCTCTCTCTTTTTGGTTTTTCGAGACAGGGTTTCTCTGTGTAGCTTTGCGCCTTTCCTGGGACTCAATTGGCAGCCCAGGCTGGCCTCGAACTCACAGATCCTCCTGCCTCTGCCTCCGGAGTGCTGGGATTAAAGGCGTGCGCCGCCGCCGCCGCCGCCGCCGCCGCC